TATTTCCACAAAGCCATTAAACTGTTTGTCCCAACAAAATGGATGTTCGCTATCAAGATAACATCGATGACCCGTGTAATCCAGTTTACTTGTAAGATGACATAAACAAGTATCTTCATTACATGCAGCACATGCCATATATCCTTTTTGTTGGGAATAGTGTCCTAGAAGCATGAGATGTAAAAGGATATTTATTATTTATTTAATAAAATAGTTTATTCATCATTTTATGTGCATATATTTATGAATATTTTATGAATATCAAATAAAATTCCTTGATTATTTATGTAACCTTAAACATGGTATATAAGTGTTGTATACGAGAGGATAATGTTTAAGGATAATAATCAAAAGTAATTGTTGATAATGAATTTAATTAAAGTTCAGAATCTTTAAATTAAAACATTATTAATACATGTCATTCCCATTTAGAATGGAACGGTGTTATCCGCACTGTTAATATGGCGAGATATTGAATGAGTGTATTTCGCATAATGAGATTATGTGGAACATGGACGCAGACACAATATGAATTTCTAATAATTTCTGTTAAGCAAAGAAATTCTAATTGAGTCTACTGATGGTCATATATAGGATGATCTTAATCCTGAGTTCTTAACAAACTCCTATTTATGGATTTATGTCTTTTGATTTACTCGGTACGGATTCCGAAACCCTGAATCCTATTCCTTGTATTTTGGAGACATAATGAAATAGGTAGTTGGGAATGTTATTATACGAGATGGAATCCATTCCTTCTTGAGAAAGAAGCAGATAAATAATTCTCTTGAGTGTTGATTCGGTACTTGGATTAGTTAGAGCGCTCCGGTTCATGAATGTGTTTTATGAATCACTATCCATTAGAGAATCAATGGTACTCAAGGATAAAGATGTAATTAGAGAGGTTAACAGATTCTACCTGACTCTAATTATGAATTATTTATGGAGGACTGATCTATATGTAATGACTATATCAAATGGACACTTCGCAGTTTAGAAGAAATTAATGTCTATAATTTCGAGAGTGCAATTCCAAGTTTATAGTGGAGTAACTATTGGAATTAATAG